TAGATGGTCAAAAAAAAAAAAAACTTACGTTGGCTGGCTTCCTTGCTCACGCTACACAGTTGTTTTCAGAGACACTATCGGTCGCCTAACCGATTTAACTCGCTAGCCAAACGTGAATTTAATGAACATGGTTAATTTACCACGCTTGGCTGGCTACGAAGGTCTTTAACTTAAACGGGAAATTCCCTTTCCCTTTTAACCCAGGCTGATAGGCAGCAATCTTAGCAAGCAAAGGATAAAAATTAAATATTAAGCAACAAAACAATAAATGCACATCTAACAGACAGATATACAGTCAGTCATGCATGCACTGCCAGGAAGTACCGAGCTCTGAATCCCGCTTGCGTCCGGAGTTGACCGCTGTTATCGGAGCTACGGGGCTAAGTCTATGCTGCTGTCTTGTCAAGAGCCGGAGTTTTTGTTAAACTTATTTTCGTCTTATTTCAGTGCAGAGTTTAATTCAAACAAACGTCAGTGATTATGTTGACCAAATATATCTTTCAGCCAACGTTCCTGTCGCCAAAAAATAAAATACTGGTTTTTTCCTCCGTATTCTATGATGGCACCTTCCCGGACAACTAATTTCATGACGTACACAAATATAGTTGTTGAGGAGCGAAGTTGCCATTTTGGCTCAAAATAAAGTCGGACTGGCAGTGTTTACCTATTTGATATTCTTTTTATTTGAATAGCATCATAGTTTATATGCTATTAAAATTTTGGATTTCTAAATATACAGTTTCAATACAATTAAAGTTTTGGCCAAAGTAATTACTGTAGCATTTTTTTTTTCAAACAAGCTTGAAGTTTTGGCTAATGTTTGCTGGCCAGGTAGCTAGCTACTTGGCTATCAACAGGACGCTTTTGAGAAGCTAGGTGGCTATCCAGCTACTAGCTAAAGTATGGGAGGATGCTCTGCTCCGAATTGCTCGAATTCTACAACTATAGGAAAGCAACTGTTTCGTTTCCCGAAAGACCCGGTGCGAATGAGAAAATGGGTTATCAATTGTCGTCGTGACTTTGTTCCAACACCATGTTCCAGGCTCTGTCAGGCAAGTTTGGAATTTGAAACAGCGCTGCATCACCAACAAGTTACTTGATAGATAGACACTGACGAGCAAAATAAATAGTAGCAATGTCACAAGCTTTAATGTGCTTACACGTTAAAATCCAAGATATATTTCAAAAGGAACATTACTTTTAGCTAGCGTTTAGCGGCTAACTTTGCCAACGACCATGTCTTCATGCGCAGGACCATTTTGAAGAGAGCCAATTCGAAGAAATCGCCAGGTCCCCAGCAGGCGGAAGGAAGCTGAAACCCAATGCGATCCCGACTCTATTTAATGTGCCCGACCCCCCTTCTCCCATCACCCCCGTCACCGTGTTACCTCTCAAATCTGACCTGGGTAAGACGTACCAACTCTGACACTCCACTTTCAGAGTGTAATTATAAATAAAACCTGCGAGGAGATTTGCAGACTAGAACAGTTCCCAGAGTTACCATTTCTCTAACTCATCAATTGCTGACAGAAAGGCTTGTACGAGTGAGAAAACATTACTTTTCCTGTTGTAAACAAAGTTTACGTGTTACTTCTTTTTATCCAACGCCTTATTGAAATAACCATTAATAATGTTGCCTCTTTAGAATCACCAAAAAAAAAAAAATAAAATAAAATAACTGAATCCTGTCCTTGCAGTAAAGGAGGAGAACTTGGGGGACCATGGTTACGCTCGGCGTCAGCCCCGAGGAGATCTGGAGGGGTGTGACCTCTCCGGGCAGAGGCTGGAGGAGGAACGTCCGTGCTCTCTGTGTCAGCAATACAAGGCCCAGCTGGAGAAACAGCAGCAGCAAACTGCCAGACTGCAGCGGGAGGTCAGATTGAGCTGCCTAAAGCAGGGGTATTCAATCCTATTCCTGGAGCTCTACCATCCTGACCGTTCTCAATGCAACCTTGGTTTGCTGCTCTGATTTTGCTAATCAGCAGCTGAAATTAAAGCTCTCGCCACTGAACGAGGTGTGCTTTGTGTACATTGGAGTGAAATCCTAAAGGATGGTCGATCCTCAGGAGCAGGATAGACCACACTGGACCTGGTGGATTTACTATGTACTACCACGAACATCATCCTTCCTTTATATGTACACAGGCCCAGGGTATAAAACCTTATCTGGAAAGCGCTGGTGCGGGTGCAGAATTTCTTTCCAGCCGTTCGGTTACACACCTGATTCTGCTTGTCAACCCCAAGAGTCTTTGCTGAGGATCCTGCTTTTATATCGCGAATCCTAATTTTTTTTTTTATTTATTAATTTGGCTCCACACAGGGACAAGGTAGCCACACTTGGTTGGAATGAAAGCCTGTACCCTTCTCGGCCCTCTCTGGATAAGATTGGGGCAGGAGTTTAGTTTATGGGGTGATTTTGGGTGTTCCCGACCTCATAATCACAAATGCTCCAGTAAGACCCCCTAGGTGCTGGAGCATCTTAAAACCCCCACCCAGGATTCGAGTAGTCAAAAAATTACTTCCTATCCTCTAATTCCTAACCACTTTTCTTTAACCTCAGTGTAAAACGTCATGAGGTAAAAGAAAGGTGTAAAGGGGAATCTATAACGGCTTAGAAAGACGACTGCGCTGCTAAGAAAATTTGAATGCACGTATTGTGGGCCGGCGTTTGCTCTTCTAGTTTTCGTAAAGGATGGCTCAGTGTATCCTGTGTGAAAGGTAATAACTTCGGCAGCATTGAAGCACCTTTCCTATGCATGTTGAGATTTCAAACACAGTTATCATGGCTGCCACATAAATACTTACAGGTCATTTTCTTGGAGAAAGGAACTTTCCTGAGAAAATAAGGCCATTCGAGCACAGCCCCAGTGTCCAAGTCTAACTTCCTTCCTTACCTGGTGCATCATCTGACATTGTGTTGATTGTGACGTGGGTCCATCTTCTGCCGCAGGCGGAGGAGATGAAGAAGAAGCTGAACAAACTGAATAAGATCGAGAAAGGCCTGCAGATGTTTCTGTACGAGGACCAGATCCGGGCGCTGACCCTGGCCAAGCGCTCCCGCCGGGCCGTCTGGTCACAGGACACGGTGGTGACGGCCAGGAAGATCCAGTGCGCTGTGGGGGTGAAGGGCTACGAGTTCCTCCGCGAACTGGGCTATCCCCTCCCCTCTTACAGGACCTTATCCAACCGCCTGAAGCCCAAAATGATGGTGGCCTCCACCATGCAGGAGGAGCTGGCTGAACTCGGGCTGGGGGTCATCGCCACGTACGACAGCGCCGTCGAGGACAACGGGACGAGCGAGGAGGGCTTTATAGGGGTGATTTCGTGAAGGATTTTACCACTCCTCTGCCTCAACCAGCTCCGTGTCCTGCTGACACGGCTCGGCTGTCTCGACCTTTCGCACGTCGACTGCGTGTATGATGTGGAGGAAAACGGTCATCTGCGCTAACTGTGAAGGGAATCTGCGCACATGTTCCTCGGCTGTGATTGCATTGAAGAAATCCGCTGTGCATCAATCCAGTTCGACAACGTTGTTTTCGTTGCGCGTCATTTAAGTTAAAGGAATTTTGAGGATCACTGATGTTAATGGTCGTCAGAGGAGAGTGATGGTATATATGACTTCACTTAGATATCCCATTTTTAATTGAAGGAGAGTTCATGTTTTTGGGAGGTGGAAAATTCTTATTTTTCTGGATAAAGGCTTACTTGTGAGTCGGAGTTTTGAAAAAGCTTGTTTGGTTTCTGGTTCTTTGTTGTACGCTCTTGTTCACAGATGATACGAGACCAGTCAGACGACAGAAAATGTTCTTCAAAAAGGCCATAAAATGTCCCATTTTACGTAGTATGGACACAGTATGAGGAGGGGATTTAGCGTAAAAAAAAAAATTACAGCCAATTCGAGCCTTAGTTTTTCAGCACTTTTGAAGTTTGTGAATGCATTAAAGAGAGCTATGTTCTTGTCTCCCAGTAGCCTAGTGCCTGCTCTGCTTATACATGGGTGACTGACTCAGGGTGGGCATCAATTCTGTTTTATTTCTGAAACCGAAATTAGATTCATGTATTGAAAAATGGCTATAAAATGTTATTTTTCAGAGGATGGACTGAATTACAATTTGCTTTGTGAAATGGTTGTAGTAAAATAGTGTCGACTCCAACACTACTGACTACACAAGACCCCTGAAGCACGGTATATCATAAACTATCAAGTGGGTGAAAGGAGAAATAAATGTCAGATTTTTGAACTGTGTTTTTCTTCAGAGAGCTATAGGTTATTTTTATACTCCTCTGTATCTTTGGGTTGAAATCTTGGCACAGCTCTGTGAAATTTTCATTCAGCCTTATTCACAGCAGACGATTGGGACTGTATATATACTCCTTGATGAAAGCATGCCATGATAGAAGCTAATGTTCTGTATTTATTGAGAAATAAAACCTGCCTTATAATTTACTGCAGTTTTGGTTGCGCTGAATGTTTTGATCTGGATTGAAATCCCGGATATAATTGCCACTGGATTGAATTTGATTTTCCGATTGAGTTAGGAATCAAGTCACCTGTAGATTTGGGGAATGTATTAAAGGCTGTGGATTGAGAATGGAATATATTTGAACTAAGGGACAAAACTGCGTTTTCCTATAGTAGCTGATAAAATTACTCTTCAAATTAAATTGGTTTGAGCCTCGGGGATGAAGTTCAGAAGCAATGTAGGGCAATAGTGAGGCGCATTTGATCATTCCTAATGGTAATTAATTGGGCTTCGCAGCATTTTTTGGAAGGCCCGTACTTTCCCCCGCCGCAAAATGGGACGAGGGATATTGGATTGGGGTCCGTGCATCTGTCCGTCCGGAACGCAATGGGGACAGGATTTCTCTGAAATTAATATACCTAGATGCATGAAATTTTGTATGTTTAATAAGCTACTCTTGATCTACTTTGAGTTCAAAAATGGATGTCGAAGCATATCTGTTGTCTTGTTTTAATTTTAATTAAATGCATTTTATTTGCCACAATGGCACAGTGGTTAGCGCTGCTGCTGCCACGCAATAAGGAGGTTCCGGGTTTGATCCCCGGCTGGCCAGGGCCTCTCTGCGTGCAGTCGGCATGTCCTCCCCGTGTTTGCGTGGGTTTACTCCGGGTTCCCCCACCCAGAAAAACGTGTTATAGGAGCTCTCCTATCAATGGCCCAGGTTCTAGCTTGAGCTCTAGAGTTGGTCCCTGTGTGCTGCTCTGTGGCAGCCCATTGCTGCTAACTATGGGATGGGTCAAATGCAGCGGACAAATTATCCCACGGGGTTCAATAAAGTGTATATTATCTGTATTTGGTGCCAGTTTTGTAAAGTGAGTCTGTGGAAGACTTGTATCACTTCAGTGCTGGCGTAGACACGTTATGAGCCAGTTCTTAGCCTCTGTAAGCTTCACAAATCAGTCGTTCCAGTGGTATGACTTTATTCTTAAATGTATTATTTATTAATTTTTTTAGTGAAATAAGCTACATTTGGCATTGATAATTGGATCATTTCGACCCTGCGGGTGATCCCTTCTCCCCCATGCTTTGGCCATAAATCGGTGATAGATTGATAGTGCGCGCAAGAGATGGCAGCGTACTGTAATACCGAATACACTGCATCAAAGTCATTGCTCTCCCGACAGACCCCGCGTAATCAACTCATCAACCGGACCGGGTACGGTAATCCAGGCCTACTGGCGAAGCAAACCGAGACGCATATCCCTGGTTGGCCGTCCCAGCTATAAACACGGCTACTGTTGCTGTTTTTTGTTTGTCTTTAAATCACCTCGACAAAAATATGTCCTGCAATGAAACACACATCCAATTAAACGTCAGTCGCACTTTAGTAACGCTTTTCCTGTAATTTATGCCAAATTTCGTAACGTGGAGTGTCTGAATCAGGCCGCAAGACGATAACCTGCGGCCTGCAGGGAGCTCTGCTAAGAGGCTATAGTGACGTATTAGTGCACCTGCAATAACTACGGGGCAGTCAGCAACAGTCTTTCAGCACGAAGTTCGTCAGTGTAATGTCCTCACTTTCTGACAGAGGGCAGTGCGTCAAAAATGTTGCTTCGTGGCTTCAAGGCATCTGATATGCGAGCTGGGATTCAGCGTGTTGTACCCTTATAGATAGGAATAGAAACCTTCTCCCCTGCTTTATATTATTGCCTCTGTATTAATTAATGGAACTGGCGAAATATTTTCACATTATTTTCACATTGTATTATTGTTGCAGTTTCTGGTTGGTCGGTTCAAAGATCTGGCATAATGTTGTTTTTTTTTTTTTTTTTGCTTTTTTTTTTTTTGGGCACAGTTCTAAACTTAGTAAAGTAGGCCTAAAAATAGAACATCAGTTTGGAATAGGTTGTCCCCTTCTGCCAAATATCCAGATATTCAAAAATGCCCAACCACCGATCAACTACTTTTACAGTCAGACATTAATAAAGATTCTAGAAAATCACTGAACTGATTTAAGTCTTTAATGCAAATTATTAGAAGGGTCACGGTCTGCTGTGTTGCTCAGTGAAATGGACTCAGGGCTTTTCTGTCTTAAGGAACTGTTCAACTTGCTTGTCATCTTTCATTATGTTCCTTTGTTCTGTTGTTTGTTCTGCAAACAGAAAAACAAAAGACTGTTGGGTCCTATCCACTGCAAGTCAAAACCACTTTCCTTCAAAAATAATTATTTTTCTACATTTTAATGATTTTCATTCTGGCTTAGGCCTGTCAAGTGTTGTGTTCCAGGATTTCTTTTGCTGGTGCTTGAATTGAATATTTTTAAACATTTCAACCATTTACAGACACGGGGGTCAAGTTCATGGAAACATACAAATGTTATGTAAAGATGAAGAGAAGCCTAGTTGTGTGTGATTTCTAGAATTCCTTCCTTTCGTCAGACTAAAAGCCAGTGTGTGGGAGAGCACTAATGTTTATTCCTACCCAACGCCAGTCAGACCCTGTTCATCGATCCTCACCCTTCACCATCAGTAGCTGGCCGAGAGGTCGTGCAAACAGGGACGACGGCAAGCCAATCTCTGAAGCGTATTTACAATTCCACCTGCTGTTTCTAACCTGCTTGTGACATCATCAGCTTAGCCTAAGGTCCAACTCTGAAGTGGACACAGGCGATTCAGCTGCGAGAATAGAGGATTGGGAACTCTGTATTTGTACCCCGCTAAAACAGGCTGGAGGGAGCGTTTTATACTTTAACACTCTGGGCTTTGAAAACGGAAAACTGGGCTACAGAACCACAGGTTAATTTTAGGTTGATGCTTCCCAGACTCTATATGCGGTGATTACAGTATACTGCTCGTATATTTGGAAAATGCTTCATGAAAGAAAACCTTTTTTCAGAAATATAACTGTTTTTAACTCGTAAGGGGGCTTTTGTGGTGGACCCACCGTTGGAAAGGGTTGAAGACCCTTATCTGGCCACTATCTGTCCATGGAAAGCCAGTACACTGTCTGCCACTAATGCAGTTATTTACTTGACCCTCAGTGAAGCCATTTTAACTTGCTCAGCGCATCCTTTCTTTGGCACTGATTCAGAGGTGTGCATGGGTATGCATGTAATCCAGTCCAAAGTGAATGACCCTTGTGAAGAAAATGGCCAAAAATCCTCCCTGTAATTAAAATATATTCCTGCCCTCTATGCTATTTTCCTGGTAGAAAGGAGACAGCAGGAAGTTCTTTACTGGTGGAGGAACCGGCCGATGGAAAGGTTTTAGGCTTTCTTAACGAGCAGCGGGTAGATAAAAACATTGTTTTATATTCTCAGGCTCAACAGTGGAAAATCATTAATGCCAAGCTATGATATGGCTGTCATTACAGAAGAAAATCATGAGTTCTTTATTGATGAAAAGGAAAACAATCACGTACACGCCATTCCAGAGGATCTAGTCAACGGAACAAATAGGGCAGATTTTTAAAGCAGCCATGTATTGAGAAATCAGAAAATGGGCAAATAATACCTCTACGGAAAGCTAATGTTACGGAGATGATGAGAAAAACACTTTCTGGACACTCACTCAGACAGAAAGAGAATAAAAGAGGCATTTTGAACACCCTTTCAACTCAGGCACATCCCCAAACGAAAATAGCTCCTTTCTGATGACAATTTGTGGGAGACAGGGACACACAGTAAGGAATTCGAGAGCATCAACTATCATCTGCCTGTCATAATTTGTCCATTTCTTGGCCTTGTTTAGTGTTATATTTCTAAGAGATTAGATTTATGCTCATCAAAAAGTATGTTGTTGTTGATGATGCAGAGCACACGTCCCTGTAATATCTTATTTTCGATTTTTTTTTCCATGCAAGAAGCAGAAGTGAAGCTCTGGGTCATAAAAGTCTGCCACACTTTACCTCAGGAAAACTAAAAAGTCCTGAAAACCTACAATAAAACAGTAGTTCATATAATTTTCAACACAGATCTGGGCCGGTATTCACAAAGCATCTTATCTAACCACTTGGAGTACTCCTAAGACGCGCTAAAACATTTTATGAAGGAGTAAAATCTTGAAAGTTATTCACAAAGCCGCTGAGAGCTGGGAGTAGCTCCAAGATAGGTGGGAGTAAATCTCCGTTGCTGTGGATGACGTCAATTCTCATGCACGAGTCTTGGAACAATGAGCACGGTGATTGGTTGTTTGGTGACGGCGGCCCTTTGGAAAAAATATCCCACATAAAAACCATGGAGGAAAAAATGAGGAAATAGTGCAAGGGGCTGGTTTGTCCCATAAAATAATAACATGTTGAGCACTCCTGAAAATGCACTATGCGCAGTTCCCACATATCACGCTCAAGGCAAATAAACATACATAGGAAAGAGATAGTTGTAAAAACGCCGATAGCATAAACAAGTCAATAATAAAACGCGTCATTTGCCCCAATAATTAGCAACTTATTACCCAATGAGAATATGTTGCAATCATTTAAATGTCGGGCTGTTCAAGTTTGTTTGCCCTAAACTGTCATGGATGAAAGTTTAAAAAGGACGCGAAAGCCCAACTGGAGCCACGACCAGTTTCTGCTGCTGGCCCAGTTGGTGCTGGAGCGAAAGCATGTAATCAAAGGGAAATGTGGCTCAGGGGTGAACAGCAAATCCAAGCGGGATGCGTGGGATAATATCAGCCTACAGATCAATGCTGCATTCCCCTCGGTGTCTCGGGCAGCAGACTGCGAGAAACGGTGGTATGGGCTGCAATCGCAGGAGAGGTCCGAGATTGAAGCCTATAAACGGGCTATCGTTCAAACAAGAAAGCATACTAAGCTTGGTTTGTAATTTATAGCCTACAATTTAAATATGCATACAAAATATGACATAGGCTGGTATTATTATGATGATCTATTAAATGTAACCCTCGCTCAATAGCCTAATGAAATAATTCATGCATAGCAAGAGGAGGTACAGGACCAAAGCCACTGTCCCCGAGCAAGTGGCATTCCACAGGCACATAATGCCTGTCAAATAATTGGCATAAAGTGCTTTCTTTTAAAATGCGAGTCGTGCGTGGATCCTGGCCATTTCGCAACAACGTCCAAAATATTGTATTCGGAATCAAATACTATCTGGGTGTTGATGGAATGAACTTTTTTTCTATTTACAAATACAAACCCAAAACCAGTGAAGTTGGCACGTTGTGTAAATCGTAAATAAAAACAGAATACAATGATTTGCAAATCCTTTTCAACCTATATTCAATTGAATACACTGCAAAGACAAGTTACTTAATGTTCGAACAGGTAAACTTTGTAATTTTTTGCAAATATTAGCTCATTTGGAATTTGATGCCTGCAACATGTTTCAAAAAAGCTGGCACAAGTGGCAAAACAGACTGAGAGAGTTGAGGAATGCTCATCAAACACTTATTTGGAACATCCCACAGGTGAACGGGCTAATTGGGAACAGGTGGGTGCCATGATTGGGTATAAAAGCAGCTTCCCTGAAATGCTCAGTCATTCACAAACAAGGATGGGGCGCGGGTCACCACTTAGTGAACAAATGCGTGAGCTGATTGTCGAACAGTTTAAAAACAACATTCCTCAACGAGCTATTGCAAGAAATTTAG